GACAATACACAGAGTCTCACTAAATCCTTGAGAGCTCCGTGGAACAGACAATGTTAAGACCCATTTTACAGATGAGGGAACTGAGGCTTAGAGAGGCAGAAGCACTCGCCCAGGGCACACAACTAAAATTCAAACCCGGATCTCTGTGCCACTTCAGCTTGTTTTTAAAATCCAATCTGAAAATCTCTACCTCCTGATTGGAATATTTATTTATTTATTTATTTTTATTGACTTTCTACAGAGGAGCTGTTTGCTTTAAGTCTTTGACAAATAGCAGATGGTTAGGGCCAGGCATCACAGACATCTGGGCTCAGTGATAGATATGAATGAGTAGGTGTGTGTGTGTGTGTGTGTGTGTGTGTGTGTGTCAGACACTGTGTTTCCTTCTAAGTAGAGCTCATTATCTGCTGGATAGCCCGTATAGGACAGATGGTGGGTGAGCCAGGTGCACAGGAAGAAGCGCCTCAGCATAATTCTGAGGTGTGCTCACTGATCCTCCACAGGACATTATCCTCATGCTTCATCTCTGTCTCAGAAGCTCATCCCTCCTCCACCCCCGAAGATAAATCCTCTCTCCCGCTGCCCTGGGCCTTCGGCGCAGTTTGAGGTCAAATGCCCTCACTGGCAGCTTTCCTCTGCCCCCTGCATCCCCAGCAAGTCACCCACTGTGCCCACTGTGCCCACATCACCTCTGACCCCCCCTGCCCACCGCGGGGCAGGCGGCGTGCTGGCCCAGGTTAGGGAGGACCGGGCTTGGGTGAGCTAGCGCGTCTGTGGCTGGGCCGTCCGTGGGGACAGCCCCTGCCTTGGCACCTGGCTGAACCCCAGCCCCTGCCTCCCCCTTTCCCTTTCCACCCTTTCCCCTCCCACCCCGTGACGGGCATCACAGTCTCGGGTGGTTCCCCGTTAATCAGGAGAGAAAAGCCAAAAAGACCAGTGGGCCTTGGTATCGCCCTTGGTGTCTTCCCTTCTCTCTCCCCTGCTGTGCAGAGGCGGGCAGCGCCGCCCCAGCCGCCGTGCAGTGTGCGGTGTGCAGTGTGCAGTGTGCAGCGCCAGCCCTCTGACGCCCCAGGGTGTCCTTTCCCATGGGAAAGGAGGCCTTCCAACCTCCTCTTGGGAAACTCCCACCCCGGCTCCCTCCACCCGCTGGGGGGCGTCAGGGGCCTCTCAGGGCCTGCTCTGTGGGCGCCCCCTTCCAGGCCCCTCGGGGACAGGCCCAGATCCTTTCCAAGCTGAAGTGGACCAGGGTTTGCACAGAGGATTGCAGGGCGCTCTCTGCCCCACTGCACGGCTGTCAGCACGACCCCGGGCCTGGCCTGGTGAGCCTCCGAGGCCCTGGTGTCTGCTTCTGAGACGATTTCTCTTCAGCAGGCAGGGTTCCTGCAGAGCGCAGTACAGACTTGATTTCTTAAAAAATATGTTTTCAATGATGTCAGAGAGGAAGGGAGAGGGGGAGAGATAGAAACGTCAGTGATGAGAGAGAAGCGTTGATCAGCTGCCTCCTGCACAACGCCACCCACTGGGGATCCAGCCCGAAACCCAGGCCTGTGCCCTCATTGGGAATGGAACCGTGACCTCTTGGTGCCTGGGTCGGAACTCACCCACTGAGCCGCACCGGCCACGCTCCCTGCATCTTCTTAAAGGACCCCTGCTGACGGAGAATAAACGCAGGACTGCGGGAGCTCATGCCGTTCCTCCACGTCCCCGTGTAACCGGGACCCAGATCTGAACTAGCAGCCCTCCAGCCCCCATCCAGAACCCCCTCCTGCCTCCTCCCAGATTTCACCACCCCCCAGGAGGAACGAATATCCTGGCCTGAGGCCAGTTTTGCCTGCTTCTGAGCCTCATAACAATCAGGCCTCCCAGCCTGCACGCCGTTGGTGATGCGTGGTAACCAGCGGGTTATAGGAAAGGCGAAAGGGGGAGCCAGGTGGAGTGGGGGAGGAGGGATTCGTCCCTCGTTCGGGCAGCTTCACTGGGAAGCTGCAGCTTTGCACTCCTCAGAGAGCCATGGCCTGTACCCCACAAAACACTGGGACCCAACTAAGGGAAGACAGACATATGCCCAGTAATGTTGGGGTGACAACGAGCAGGCACCTGCCTGTCAGTCACACCTGGGAACAAAGATCATTGGCCAGATTCGGCATGGCCACCACAAGCACAGGGACATTTTAGAATAAAGGCTCTCTCTCTCTCTCTCTCTCTCTCTCTCTCTCTCTCTCTCTCTCTCTCTCTCTCTCTCTCTCTCTCTCTCTCTCTTGCTGGTGGCTTCCTTACATTCACCCATGTTTCCTCTATAGTCATGTGGGCCTGTGGATGGCAGGAGGAAGCCGGAGCAGTATTGGACCGTGCAGACACGGAAAGAAAATTGGGGACCCTGCTGATCTTCACCCCCATGGAGGGAGGCAAACGAACTTCCTCCTCGGCCAGACTGAGGGGAAAGAAACCTTGGAAACTCAGGGTGGATTACACTAAAATGAGAATCACTCGTTCTCCTGCCCACGTCTCAGAAAATTCTTTTCTTGGGATGTCACAGCACCCCATGCCAGGAGCAGCAGGTGGGGACGGCCCTCTCCCCTCGTTGGCATTGACCTTGGGGGCTGGGTAACTGTGTGACCGGGGCTGTCCGTGCTCTGTGGGATGGAGAGCAGTATCTCTGGCCTCCAACCACAGTCTTTAAAGAAATCAACTGGCCCTAGCCGGTTTGGCTCAGTGGATAGAGCACTGGCCCAAGGACTAACGGGTCTCAAGGTCAATTCCGGTCAAGGTCACGTACCTTGGTTGCAGTTTCCCTGGCCCTGGTTGGGGTGTGTGCAGGAGGCAACCAATCAATGTAACTCTCTCAGATCGATGTTTCTCTGTCTCTCCCTCTCCCTTCCGCTCTCTCTAAAAATCAATAGGAAAATATCCTTGAGTGAGGATTACAACAACAAATAAAAACAAAAAAATCAATGGGCCACATTTATCTGACTCTATTTCTGGGCCCTTTTCTGCGTCCCACTCACTGGTCTGTGTACCTTCTCTTTTGCCAACACTACGCTATTGGGATAACATAGCTCTATAGTAAGTCTGGAAATAAGTCCTCTGCGTTCATCTACCTTGTTTTTCTTTTTCCAACCATTTTGACTAGACTTGGTCCTTTGACTTGGTGTGTATGCGCTGGAACCATGTTGTCTAGACGTATATCAATAAAAACGCCTGCTAGGATTTTAATGAGGGTGGTTCTGAATGCAGACACCAACTGGGGAAGCATCCACATCTTCACATCGAATCTTCCAGCTTATGACCATAGGAAATCTCTGCATTTATTTATATGTTCTCTTATTTATTCCATCAATATTTTATTATTTTTACGATAGAGAGCGCATACACATTTTGTTAGATTTATACTTACTGTTTTATATGTTGGTGCTCTTGTAAGTGGGACTTTTTTTGAATCCCAGCGGTTTGTTGCTTGCATATAGAAATACCATTCATAGTTTAAGTGCGATGTTAGCTCTGGGCTGTTTGTTTGTAGAGTTTTTACAGGTCCAGTTTGCTGAGGGTTTTTACCAGGAACGTGTGTTTAGTTCTGACAAACGCGTTTTCTGCATCTACCCCGGGCCCGTGCTTGGCTGCCTCTTATTTCTGCCAGGGCGGTGAGTCACAGCTGTGGATGTTTGAATGTGGGGGCATCCTGTGTCCTTTTTCTAAGTCTCCGGATTCTCGTTGCCAGTATCTGCGTCTACTTTTCATCCGTGTGGAATCAGGCCAGGGATCTGCAGCTTCTTGTCATAGCTTTGATTTCAGCGGCCGGTGATGCTGGCATCGTTCGCGCGGTGTGGGGAGTGCTCCCTGAAATGAGGTGGAAAGTGTCCTCTTCTACTTTCCGGAAGAGACTGTGTAGAATTAGTATAAACCCCCACTCCATCCCCCACCCCCCACCCCCGCCTCCAGGAGCCTGTGCTGACCCGTGAGGCAGGAATGGAAGCCGGTGCCTGCTTCTCCTGAGGCTCCGCCCTCCCTGCAGCCCCGGTCAGGGGACCGCCCTGGGTGGCCCGTCTTTCCTCAGTTCCCAGCAGAATTCATTTAAAATTAACAAGATCCGGCCTGGCCGGCGTGGCTCAGAGGTTGAGCGGCAACCTATGACCCTGGAGGCCCCAGGACTGAACTCAGTAGATTGTGACCTGATCTACGGTAATGGAACCGGTGAGCTCCTGGCTCATGGGTCCGACGCTCCACCACTGAGCCACACTGGCTGGGCAAGTATCAGCGTCTACCAAATTATGTCCAATGCGATATTTGGGGTATACTCATAATTTAAAAAAATTGTTTTGAAGTTCACCCGAAGCTTCGATTGAACCCGGTGTCCCGCTTTTTCTGAGGTTTACCTGACGACGGGTTTATCTGACAACCTCGCCCTCCAACAGCTGCCATCCCAGGGCCTGGCAAGGACTTCTGAGCACTGGCCTTGACCCTGTGGATCACTCCCCAGGGGGCGAGGCTCGGAGAGGGGGCACGGCTCCGGTGGGGCCGGAACCCTGGTCTCCTGGCTCCTAGGACGCCAGGAACAGATGCACGTTCTCCCTCCCAAACAAATGTAACTGTACGGCCCACAGCCCAGGAGCACGATGCCCGTCGTGGCTGGCTGCAGCGTGCCAGGGCCTGCTGGTGGCTCCTGGGGAAGGAGGTGGACACAGGGTGAAGCCCACAAGCCCACACCCCACCGAGCCTGTGCCACCGAGGCCCTCTCTCTCGCTTCGCCTCCTCTGTGGCTGGGCTGGCTTCGTGCTTGGAAGATTTCCCTTCAAAAGGCTTTTCTGTCCCTTTCTCAGGAGGCGCCCAGCGTGGGGAGGGATTATGTAGCCTCCATCTCCTCCCCTCTTCGGCAGGATCACTTGGGGACCAAAGGCCGCCTCCTTCTGCTGAGCAGCCCTGTGGGGGGCAGGGGAGGAATGGGGGGGTGGGCCGTCCTCCCCCAGCTCCCAGGCCCCAGTGACGCTCTCTCCCCCTCTCCACAGCTGCCCATGATGGGAGGAGCCTTCATGGACTCGCCCAACGAGGACTTCAGCACCGAGTACTCGCTCTTCAACTCCTCCACCAACATCCACGCGGCGTCCGGCGGCCAGGGCCCGCCCGAGGAGCCCGCCCGCTCCTCCAACGACGCCATCCTGCTGTGGATCGCCGTCATAGCCACGCTGGGCAACATCGTGGTGGTGGGCGTGGTGTACGCCTTCACCTTCTGAGGCCGGCTCTGCGGGCGGGGCGGGGCGGGGCGGAGCGCCCATGGCCCGGGACCAGGAGTGCCCACCGGGCCAGGGCCTCCACCGGTTGTCTGGAGCTGCCCCAGCGCCCTCACTTCACACCCCCGCCGACCTGAAGCCCCAGCGCCCTCACTTCACACCCCCGCCGACCTGAAGCCCCAGCGCCCTCACTTCACACCCCCGCCGACCCGAAGCCCTTGCGGGAGCGCCCAGCACCCCCGGGCACAATGGGGCCAGGCTGCCGAGGGGCAGGGCGGGGACGTGGTGAGGCTGCACCCCAAGAACAAGAAGCTCCAGGGGGCCGCCCCTTGGGCTCCCAGCACAGACATCACGGGGCGAGGGCTCCCCGGCACAAAGCCGCCTAGCTGTCGGGTCTCCATGCCACCTCGTCCGTCACGCCTGGGGGCGGGGCGCCGGGCGAGGGCCCCCTCAGAGTCTGAGTGTCTCCACCCCCTCTCAGCCCCCGGGATATGGGTGGGGGCTGCGCGAAGGGCCTTGGAACGTTCCTCGTGTGACTTGCAAACGACCCCTTTGTCCCCAGACACGGCTCCTTAGGAGACCCCAAAGCCGCGGGCACCCCGAGGAGGGGGAGGCCGCTGGAGACCGGGGGTGGTGGTCTTCACCTGCGGGTGGCCCTCTTCTTTCTGAAAAGAGGAGACGGCACCCTCCCACCGAGATCTGCGCCGGGCCAGGCCGGGCCCCGCGTGAAGATGTGCGTCCTTCTCCCTGAAACGCAGAAGGCGGCGAGCAGGGCTCTGTCCGCCCAGGCACGCGGAGGCGTGGGGCCGGTGCGGTCTGCCTGCGGTCCCCGGTCCCCGGCCCGCATGGAGGGGCCAGGTCTGAGGCCCCCGCTGAGCCCCGCCTCCAGCTGGCTCCTGCCTTCTCAGCCGCCCTCGGCGACAGTGTCCGGGGGTCATGTCAGGTGGGCAGGGCGCTCAGACACCCAACTGTCAAGTCAGTTTGTCTGCCGTGTGCTCTGCTGCTGGGGAGGGTGGAGCTGCCATGGCAACGGGGTTACCAGCCCGACCTCCAGACAGCACGGGCCCATGGCTGCCGGCCCTTATTGGTCCCATCCGTCACTGCGGCCACCGCAGTGCTGAGCTCCGTGAGGACAGGGGTGTGGAGAGCTGGCGTGACACTGGAGAGGGATGTCTGGAGCCACTGACAGGGGCCTGTTCTCTGCAACACCAGCCTGGGGACGGGACTGGGAATGGGGCCTGGGGCCTCTCTGCCAGGCTGCAGCAAGAGATCCAGAGCCTGACCCCTCTTCGGAGCTGGCCACGGCCTCTGTGTGTGGCCGGAGAAGCCCCCAGAGCCTGGCTTCCCCAGGGTGCAGGCACAGGGGAGCCCCGAGAACCCCAAAGGGTGAGGCTCCAGCCAGAATCGCTGTGGAGGGTGTGGACGGTCCGGGTGGCATGCGGGTTCCGGCCAGGCTCAGGCCTCCTGCTGCACCCGAAGCAGGGCAGGTGCTCCCTCAGACCCCAGCCTGTGGCTCCCTTTTGGGCTCCTGGGTGAGGGGTCCAGGGCCCCCCTTGACTCAGAGAGCCAGGGCTGAGAAGGAAGGGCTGTCCTCTGCAGCGGCTGCTCCTCGGAGAAAGGGTCCTGCATTTTCTGGAATGTTCTCTGTGCACTTTTTAATGCCGTTCCCCCTTTGCGAGCTGCAGGTGTCCCCCGGGGCGCTGTCTGTGTGAGGGCACCTGGGGGAACAGAGCAGCACCAGCTGTGCGAGGTGGGGAGTCCCAGCACCGGGGCTTCGGTGGAAGAGGCCGGAGGACACATTGGCCGGGGGTGCCCTAAGGGGTGCCGCCCTGTGGGGCCTGGGCATGGTGACCGCTCTGCCGGCTCCTGCTCCGCCACGCTGCCCCTCCCCCTTTCCAGGAGGCCAAGGCCAAGAGGCACGTGAGACCCCCTGACCCTCCCCCTCCAGGAAGAGGCGATCAATCTTCTCTAGGATCCCAGGGGGCGGGCTGTCCCTCTGCTGGGGCGACAGCCCTCTGCACCCCGTTCTAATGGGCGGCCGGGCACAGGCGACTCCCAGGGCAGGAGTGGGGTACAGGGCAGGGGTGGGGTGCGGGGCAGGAGTGGGGTGCGGAGAAAGGCCTGGTTGTCCTTACTGTCCCACTTTTCTGCGCAGCTGAGGTCGCTGTGCCCGAACCCTCAGCTGGGCCGCATCGCCCCAAAGGAGGGAGCTCCCTGTCCGCCCTGGGTGGGGAGGGGGCATGTCAGTCAGGCCCCAGCCAGAGGGCAGCGGAGCCACGCAGTCGGTCCATGGGGAGCTGTCGAGGCCGGACGCCTGGCCCAGGCACCCCCTCACCCCAGCACGCTGGGTGCTCCAGGGGAGCAGGGGAGGCCCTGGGTTACCAGCCCAGCCCTGAGACCGGCACCCTGTTCTCTGCCACCTGTCAGCTGCCCCTCCACCAGCCACGTCCTGGCAGAGGCCCTTGGACTGTCCCCAGAGCAAGTAGATAGGGCTGGCAGGATGGGGCGGCCAAGGAGCAGCCAGAGCGGAATGGCCCCGCCCGCCGCTCCCGGCCTGACTGGTCACTCAGTGAGAGGCAGGGAGGAGGGCATGGGTCAGCGGAGCCCGAGGGCCGGGCAGAAAGGAGCCTAGGAGCAGAGTCCCCGCGAGGCGCTCGGAGGTCCCACCTTCTGTGTGTCCTTTCCCTGTGGGGGGGTGGGGTGCAGGGGACCCCCTCCCTGACCCTGGAGGCCAAGGAGAGGACGGACTGCTCAGCGTGAGAAAGCCGGGCTCCCGGGAGTGTGCTGGTGCGGCCGGACACACACCAACCACACGCGTTTTGGTGTCAGCTGCGCTGTCTGTTCCGAGTCCCTGTGAAGCCAGTGTTTTTGTCATGAAACGGAATCAGGGCTGGAAGCCCTGGGAGGTGCTGAGGGCATGGCGCCTCCCGAATTTGCTCCGTCCCCGTTCTTCCCCAGCCCTTCCCTGGGCCTGAGCGGCACCTGTGACCAGCGTCTGTCCGTCTATCTCATTAGCCATCTTCCCCCCAACATGGGAGTCGTGCACTGTCCCCTCGATCCAGAGGCCTGACCAGGACCCCCCTGCCCACCTCTTACCCTCAAGGACACGGAGTCTCCCGGAGGGTCAGGAGGGGGCAGGCCAGCAGGAGGCCGGGGTCCTGAGCCCAGGGCATCGGTCCACAAAGTTTCTGAACTGCAGGCCGGCCCAGTGCTGCTCAGCGCCCCCGGCACCGTGGCAGTGTCTGCAGGAACCTGGTTTTCACAGCCCGCAGGGGAGGGGTCTGCTGGGATCCAGGGGCCGGCGCCACCGCTGACTAGTCCGGGGACAGAACTCTCTGGCCCCAAACAGCCGTGGTGCCGGTGAGGCTGGGAAACCCAAGGGAGGCCGTCCCATCTGATCCCACACCGGTATCTCCCCAAGGTCCCCTCTGCCCTTCGGATGAGTGTGAGCTCTTCGGAGCAAAGCAGCCGCCATGGAGAAAACCCCGCTGATGGCGGGGCGGAGGGGCCCTGAGCCGTCCCCCACCCCCGCCTAGTAACGACCCCGAGGGACCTGGCCTCCCCCAGGCCTCAGGAGAAGCCTCAAAGGGCTGGAATGGGGTGCCTGACCGCCTCTGGGCGAACCCACATCCTGACCCTCCTCCCGCCCTACTTCCCCAGCCATAGGCTCCCCCCCACTCTGTTCTCCCCAAAGTTCTACAGAAACCATGTTCTTGTAACCAGCCGCCGCCTCTGATCCCAGTCCCTCCCCGAGAACCGGAGTGTGTCTGTTCTCTTAATGTTTTCATAACCACCTTGTGATGTGAGCCTCCGGCTGAATAAAGGAAGACACTGGAGCCATTGTTCTCTGTCCTCGCTGCCCCGCCCCTGCTTGGAGGAGATGGAGGCTGTTTCCCGCGTGGGCTCCGCGTGCGCCTTGGGGTCGGACCATCTGGCGTCCTGGTGTGAGGCTGGGGCGGAGGAGGCACCGTGTCCCTCGGCTGCCTGCCGGCGCTGTCCTGCCCCCGGGTTGTCTGCTGTGATCATTCAGCGCAAGGAACGTGTTTGAGTCCTCCCTGTGCGTTATCCCTGCCCGTCCCCGGCACCCCTGCGCCTTCCCATCCTCGGCCTGTAGTAAGTCCCAGGAGCGCTACTCACCTGCCCCATGTCCCGGTTCCTCCCCCCACCCCCCTTCTGAGTCACCTGAGAGCCAGCCCCTGTGCCCAGCCCAGCGCCTGGCTCACAGCAAACACCTGCTGGGCATTCAGGGAATGAGTGAGCGAGTGAATGAATGAGTGACAGCTGTGATACCCGCCCAGGCGGGGCAGTGAGTGTGCAGCCCTCACTGGGTGTTCGGTGCCCTTCCGAACTCATCACACACAGTGACCCCCTTGCTCACAGCCTGTATCGGGTTGGCACGCTGTTAGCCGGCCTGTACAGATGAGGAAACTGAGGCACAGAAAGGTTTTCACCAAGACCATGTCGCTGGTGAGTGGCAAGACCAGGACTGGAATCCAGGATTGACTGTGTCCACCTTATGGTGGCTGTGAGTGCCCCCTCAGCATTTGTGGGGCATGGACTGTCGGGGGCCATGCCAGGAGTGGGGTGCTGGGCCAGTGAGCAGCCCCTACCCCGGAACACAGTGTGTAGAGAGGGGCACAGATAATGTCATCGTCAGGGGTTTCGTGTGCAGCACATAGAGACCCCTGTAGTGGGCTCTGCCCCAGGTCCCTTCCGAAGAACCCACACCAGGCCCCAAAGGAGGGCCGCCATGGGGCCAGGACCCACTGAGCCGGAGCGGAGGGGGCAAGGGCTGCCCAGATCAGTGGCATATGCAGGAGCAGCTCATGGAATTTCGACCCAAAGCTCGGGGTCCCAGCTTAGAGACTGGGCATCCTAAATGAGAGGAGGGGGCCGCCTCTGGGCAGGGCAGGAGTGTGCCAGTCCCGAGATTCATGGCCCAAGGTCAAGGGTTTTATGACCAAGAAGCCTTGGACTACAGATGTGCCCCCCCCCTCAAAGAAAGCCAGAGGGAGATTCTTCAGGAGAAGAAGGCGGCAGCCACAGCCCAGTGCTGCTCTTCACATTTCCAGAGGCAACCGTGAGGC